AAGCTTTCTGTAAACAGCAAAGAATCTGCAGTTTTTACTAAACAGCCCAATTTATACACACTGCCCACTGCGTGGAATGGAAGTATTAAAGCCCCACCCTGAATATAAATAGCCCGCAAAGTGGCGGTGTTTCAGTTTTGAACAGTGACTGACAGTGTAAACACAACCGAGTGTGGGGAGAAGCTTTTTGAAAACCGTACGCAAACAAGATCACCATTGACCGTCAAACTTCGTATCAACTTGAATGACAAACCATGGATACCACAAATGGCTCCATATCTATTTATTAGTCAATACATTTTCTGTAGTTGTATCATAAAAAATCGAATCGATCGTGTTTGAGGCCTGCATCAATCACAGTGAGCGGAGCTTACATGTATTTACGGTTGCGCTATAAATAGCAAAGCACATGGTCATGTGTACATGTGACACATTCAATGCATTTGTGGTCAAAGTGTATTGTGTTGCATTTTTTTACGACAGAACATCAGCTGAACAACAGTATCGGTTACTATAACAGTAACGATACATAAATACGACATTGACGACAAGATTCTTTCAGTTCAATCCGAAAACTACAGATATTTGTTTAGTTTTGGTCATTTGCATTCAACAGTTAGATTCTAGATCTATACCACACAATAATCAGATTATATTTATAAAACTTAAATTATTACACAGATTTTTCAACCAGTGTTTAGGAAGGGGCCTAATTTGAAGCATCAGAAGTTGCGCCAATATTTCTTAGCTTTACTACAAAATCTGAATATGTCACGTGTATCAACATTACAATGCACACAAGCAACAGATAAATATGTAACGAAACACACCAGATGTTTTGACCTACATTAGGCGTATCAAGATAATATAATATACTTACGATAAACGAAAACTCCAATACACACATCTTCCAAGACAACTCTAATCATGGATTTCCTTTTCTTTTACGGAATTTTCACACACAAAACTGAGTTTTATCATTAGATCCACACTTGTCCCATGTGATTTCTATTCGGGGGATTTGGATACACATCGCGCACAAGTTTTAAAATACAATCTGGGAACATAAAAAAACCATGTGCATTTCTGCAAACTCATCTTCAACTGAAAGGTTTGTGGCCTAATATTGTGGCCTAAATATTTTTCTGCTAACCTAATATGACACCGTATACGGCAATTAAAGACACCATAACGAATATATTATGCCGAAAAGTTTACACTCTCTGGTATCTATATCGCACGTGTCATGTCAAAATGAAAACTTGACACTTACAACCGTACCTTGACTTGGAGGGTCAAAGGGAGACTACTCTTTAAACCTTAGAAGCCAAACCTTGTTGAAACTTTTAACAATAATCGTTATCAATAGAGTCACGAACACATGACTTTGCAAATCACAATTAATGATAGTAAAACACAAAACAGTGTCAAATAACGAATTTCGGTACCAGAATTTCCATGTGATATAAGTGAGGTGGGTGCTGGAAAATCCAAGATGGTTGTTACTGACGGTATACGGTCTCATATTAGGTCAGTATCAACCATCTTGGATTTTTACTGACGGTATACGGGCTCATGTGGGGTCAGTAGATCTGCTCTCTGATTGGTCAATCTCACTTTGAGGCATAATCAATACTAATATTGCTTTGTGTAATACGACGGTTCAACACCTGTGTGACGAATATCATCTGTTAGAAGATACGGCACAAACATGATTTTTCTGCATCTGGTTTTCGAAGATTCAAACGGGTAATTTGACAGGGGTGGGATAAACTAAGAAAACACAGAAAACGAGCTCTGATTGAGTACTTGCATAAAAAGGACACGTCACCAAAGGTATGAAAATCAGGCTTCTTTGTGACGACTGCCCTTCTTTTTTTACTGTCAGTAATGGACGATTGATTTAAATCGCGGCAGAAGTAGCACAGATGTTAGATGGTCCTAGGTACAGTCGTTCTAGATGCTACGTCTGGAACTTAAGTGGAAGCTGTTCGCTACAAAGTTATGGCTGATTGTCGAGTTACAATTCAGTACATTGCTGACACTGTTGTGATACCTTTAATTTCAGTCCATCGTTGTTGACACACTCCACAAGATGAGTATGATGTCCTCACGGTGGTGGGTATCGCGAATGTGACACAGATCAACCTCGGACTCGTATAAACACATCCATAGACCATTTGGCCCATTATGTTGACCAAGAGTCTAAACTTCAGAACAAGCGACCATTTAGCCTCACCTAAGCCAAAGAAGTATAAGCGGGTGGTGTCAGTTGCAAAAGTCATATTTTCGGTTTTCTAGAACAGTTAGGACTATCTGAAATGGGCAATTGGATGCCATAGAAGAACATCAGTTATCAGAAGCTTTTACGGAAACTTCATTCAGCATCACGCCTATGCACATGCCACAACTTGCAATGGATGTGCCAGTGAATTACTTTCATATGACCAATACTGTTCTGTCGAAGCACATGTCACTTAAACGACACCTGTGTGGTAAATGGTTTACCAGTTACGACAAGACGTTTGCCACCGCCTAGACTTTTCTGAGGGTTAAGGATGAACAAAGGTGGAGCATTGCTTGAAAACGTATTGAAGGCCAAACAATTACATCGAAAATATATCTGTAAATCTTATTTTATTTTGATAGTTTTGTGTGAGACCACGGATTATTCGCTTTACCCTCGTTTGTGTACCAATCACATAGAAAGCGACAAAACCCTTTATATACCCACAGGAAATCTCTGCTAAAAGCAGAGTCGATTGTACGATTCCAAGCATGAGTCAATGAATCACTATCAAATAGTGATACTATTAGGTGCTCGCGAAAATGTGAGCGTATCCTCACCCACCAAAGGCAAGTAAAACATCTGTGATGATGTCTTAGAATCATTCTACCGTGCAGACATGTATAAGACATCAGAAATCAGATGTTAACTTTCTGGATGACGCACAGGTGAGGTTACGTGAAATGGGGTTTAACGTCGTGTCCAAGATTATTGCATTTATATAGCGACGTACATGCACGTGTGTGTATATGTGGCTGCTTGTACTAGTTTAGATTGATGTCGATTTATAGTGCTAAACCATTGAGATACCATGCCACAGTTAAACATGAATACCCCACTCAGACACAGTATACTGACCCCGAGCCGACCAGTCCTTGTTTTAGCCTCTTAATGCCCAACGTTGGATGGTTGGTTGGTTGGTTGGTTTGTTGTTTAACGGCGCACAATATTTCAGCTATATGACGGCGGTCTGTAAACAATCGAGTCTGGACCAGACAATCCAGTGATTAATATCATGGGCATCGATCCACGCAATTGGGATTGATGACATGTATCAACCAAATCAGCGAGCCTGACCACCCGATCCCGTTAGTCGCCTCTTACGACAAGCATAGTCGCCTTTTGCGGGAAGCATGGGTTGCTGAAGACCTATTCTATCCCGGATCTTCAAGGGTAATGCCCAGCGCCACACTGGGTAAGCACAAGTACTATCATTTAACGTCTTTTGGTATGACTGGACGGGATCGAACCCCGGACCTTCCTCTCTCCGGGCGGACACTCTACCACGAGACCATGGAGGCGGTCGGATGATCCACAGGGATTGTGACCATTTAGAACTCCCTTTTGAAGGAAAAGTTTAAGAAGAATCAATTACAATCGAGAAATGTCACAATATGAGGGGGAACATGAGTGAGTGAGGGGGTGAGTTGGTTTTAGCGCCGCTTTTAACAATATTCGAGTTATATCTCGGCGTGTCAGCTTATTGTTGGAGGAAAGCCCGAAGTGACGAAGGTCTTCGACGGTTACCACTTTGGTTAAACCAAAGAGCACGGGTATGGTGTTGACAAACCTAAAAATATAATCGGGGCGAACCGGGATTCGAACCCAAAATCACAGGTGTCTGGCATAGCCAAGGAACGCAACTCTGCACAGCGAATTGCGGCGCCTCAGACGACTGGGCCACCCGTGCCCCCGAGGGGAACATGAATATAGCTCATGTACATATACGTATGCATTTGATATGTATCGTTAGTGGCATTGGGTAACTGTATGAGTCTAACCATATCATTATATGCATATCTGCCGGACATCTAAGGCTTATAAGAATGACATGAAAGTAACACAACAACAACTGTTGAAAGCATGCTTTATTAATTTAACGTTTACAGTACACACCTCACACAATTAGTTAAAATAACTCGTCGGTAAAATAAGTCTTCAGCAACCCATGCTTGCCGTAAAAGGCGAATATGCTTGTCGTAAGAAGCGACTAACGGGATCGGGTGGTCAGGCTCGCTGACTTGGTTGATGCATGTCATCAATCCCAATTGTGTGGATCGATGCTCGTCATATTAATCACTGGATTGTCTGGTCCAGACTCGATTATTTACAGACCGCCGTCATATAGCTGCAATATTGCTGAGTGCGGCGTTAAAAAACCAACCAATCAACCAACCAACATAGTCGATACTGCTTGTTTCCTCGACATTGTGACTATCGCATGGAAGTGAGTTTAATGCTGCTTTGAGTAGTAACTTAGAAATCATGAAGACTATATGGAAGTTCAGCTGTGGTGCTGACAAACCAAGAAATAAAATAGTGCGAATGTGTATTCGAGTCCACGACCAGATGATCTCAGGACTTCTTATGTACTCAATTCTGCAAATAGAGTCCATGCTTCCAATTGTTTATGCGCAATCTGTTCGAGAAAGGTGGATACAGAATTTACAGTGAAAGACGTACAATAAGTCCCAACCTTGTAATTACGTAGCATTTAAAATTAACACATTCACATGAAGTTATATCGAGGGACCAACCATCTAGTATACGAGTGCGTTGTGTGCTTGGATCCATATTAGGGGCGGAATGCGTTTACTGCCACTGCATCAGTTCAAACAAATTATTTTGACCCGCACTTCATCTTATTCCAGGATACCCTCCACCCCACCGCACCACCACCATCACCATACCCCACCCCACCCACCCTTCTTCCTCAAAATCAAATAGTTGGTCCCTACGAATACTTTCGTATTTTCTATGAAAGGTCTTATGCTCATTGGTTAAATGGGAAGAGCATCTGCAGAAAAAAAGATTAAAGCGTGGAATAATTATCTTTTTCGCCACTTCCTCTGCAGAGACATGCAGCAATGATGATCCCGATTATCTGTAAAAACAGACATTAAACCTTCCATTACCAAACAATTACCTCAGTGTTTATAGCGTTATCAGACAAATATTTTATGGTGTTATTTCTTCACCTATTTTAAAGTGGTACAATCTTATTCTCGTGGTTTTCAAAGTGCATCTTTGGAGACATACAGCTTTTTCTCATAAGACAGCATAGTCCCTGTCGTTCACAACAAAAGGTTTTCACGATGATTTGACAAACACAATTAGATACACCAGATCTGTAAACTAACCTCGAGAATGTATCAATGTAAAGGGCATTTTTTTCAGTCAAATAATCACCGTTCAAATGTAACAAGATTTTTACATGACATTAATTTACAATTCACAGCACATGTATAGTTATCACCAACAAGCATTATTGTTTTTTTAGTTTACATTCCAGAAAATCTGTACAAATACTCTCGTGATCCTATTTTGATGTTTTGGTTATCTGTTTGTTGTTTAACGCCGCAATCAGCAATATTCCCGCTAAATGACGGCGGTCTGTAAATAATCAAGTCTGGAGCAGACAATCCAGTGACTGACATCATGACCATCGATCTACGCAATTGGGATACGATGACATGCATCAACCAAGTCAGCGAGCCTGACCACCATATCTGTTAGTTGCCTCTGACAACATGCATAGTCGCCTCTTACAGCAATCATGGGTTGCTGAAGACCTATTCCCTACCCGGATCTTCACGGGTCGACGTAATGACATCTTAAGGAATTGTCACCATGACATTGTTCGCTACACCATTCTCGCTGAACATACCAATGACGTGGAGACATTTTAAGGGATTGTCACCATGACTGTGTTCGCTACACCATTCTCGTTGAACATACCAATGACGTGGATACATCTTAAGGAATTGTCACCATGACATTGTTCGCTACACCATTCTCGCTGAACATACCAATGACGTGAAGACATTTTAAGGGATTGTCACCATGACATTGTTCGCTACACCATTCTCGTTGAACATACCGATGACGTGGAGACATCTTAAGGGATTGTCACCATGACTGTGTTCGCTACACCATTCTCGATGAACATACCAATGACGTGGAGACATCTTAAGGGATTGTCACCATGACTGTGTTCGCTACACCATTCTCGATGAACATACCAATGACGTGGAGACATCTTAAGGGATTGTCACCGTGACATTGTTCGATACACCATTCTCGTTGAACATACCAATGACGTGGAGACATTTTAAGGGATTGTCACCATGACTGTGTTCGCTACACCATTCTCGATAAACACACCAATGACGTGGAGACCTTTAAGGGATTGTCACCATGACATTGTTCGGTACACCATTCTCGTTGAACATACCAATGACGTGGGAGACATTTGAAGGGATTGTCACCATGACATTGTTCGGAACACCATTTTAACCTTTAACCATATGACTTGAAGGCTCATCTGACCGACTGAATATACAATTAAATATCTATTTTGATATTGACATATTTGCGACAAAGTAATAGGTTGAAACCCTAGCTAATTACCTGAAACAGATTAGTTGACGTGAAATCGTAACAAAATACTTACTGCCAAAGTAATGATAAAGAATTCAGCAACAAGAAGCAAACTGCTGTAATCATTTAGAATGGCTTGAAGTTTCCCAAAGCAAACGTGCAAGATTGTAAACACAGAGACATGAGTATCATCTTTATCAAGATCTTACAAGCTGTTCGCATGCATGCAGTGTAAACCGGTGATCAAACAGTGTGGTAAACATAACATACAACACAAGAACTATATGTGGACCTTTTTTGATGATATGATCATATTATCATACATGGGTAACTCATTTATCATATCTGGCATATGATATGTACAATACTAAATGAATCATCGTTAGATATCTGTTTTGTTACAAATAGAGAAATCGAGTCGGATACGTTTTGAAGTACACGGGTATTTGACGGGGACGAGTGAAGTTATTATTTATGATTTATTACTCAAATAAGTCATGTCGTTTGATTTTTGGGGTGTATTTACCGAAATTGGAATTTCGACGAATATCGTTTTGGTCAATCATGTGTCAGATGTAGAACTGTCCTCCACATGTGTACCATAGCACATGACGTAATGCGGACACCAATGTGGCAAATGACAGACACGGTTGTCAATATTATGTGTTAAGGCCACTTTGGTGAAGATGTTAAAATCAATCAATTGGTGACCTCATGCGATCATGTTCATGAGTTTTAACGCATTTAGTTGTACGACCTTGTCAAAAAGAAACCAATATTTCTGCACAGCATATAACAGTAAACAGCGCATAATATAGATAGTATTGGAATGACATTGGAATGTGTATCATACAAATTTGACGTGGCAGTAAGAATACTAAATGTACATAATATTCTATGGGTAGTCACAAACCTATATATATAGCTGTTTTGATGTAAATGACGCAGGCGTGACAACAGAAGAGTTAATTCGGAAAAGTCGGATCACTTTTTTATGTAAAAGGTAGGTGTTCATTGTTAACTATTAAGATAAACCCCTTCTATTCTCTCTATCATCTTACGAACATCCATGTCTTACCTCAGAATACATATCATTCGGGCAGGACTCACTGCTTGCTGCCTCAGGAGCTTCAGTGCCGTTGTCAGAGGATGCACAGCAGCTTGGCGGCACTTTACCCTTTAACATAACACTTATTATGATGACAATCTGTCGGCTGTCTGTATGTTATTTCCAGATTACAAATGCAGAAACAATCAGAAAGCCACAAAAGGGAGTTGTTGTGTTGAACATGGGACAGACCTTTAGAACTGTTCGCAAATACTTCTTTGAAGTCAACGAAGTTATAGTACACACCTTATCATTGCCAGTAAACACCGCATCATAATCTTTGTAGCTGGATACGCCACAGCATTGGAACTGTAAATATAATGACATTGACATGTGTCAGAGAGAGCGGTGATGGTACATGTAGTCTATTACAAGCGTGAAAAATATAACAACTGACTGAATGAATGGTCTTTATAAGTTGTGAACAATGTTTATGAATCTATATTTTTGTTGCATCTTCCCGAGGAAAGGGAGTTAACTGACTGTAGAAGTCCAGTTCCCAACGTTACCGAGCAAGGCTGGAGTTATAATTGGGCTGGACTAATAAGCCTATGCATATTCCAATAAAATGTCGCGCAACGAAATCTATATCCTCCCGTGCAGATTTCGGTCGAATTCAGGATTTGCAAAGAATGTGTACCGTCAACTTAGCATCGACAGATGTTTTTCCAAACGTTTTATGCGTTTTCAATCATCTTGCTCAAGTTATTTGATGTACTGGTGGAGCTACGATCTATCCACGACATTTCAAGTTCGGCAAATGTGGAAACTGGACTTTTATAGTCACTTAAACTCCCTTGCCTCGGGAAGAGGATTTTGTTCTTGACACAATAGGGCTAATATTATCGATGGGGCTTTCAGTTGCAACGTTCACTACATATTGAGTACAATATTTAATCTGACCACGCGGGCATCCTAGCAATTATAAGAGCACCAAGGATCACATAACCTCGTTAACATAGCATTATGGAAAGTTTTCCTCTTCCTATATCAGTACATTACTTTCTTGACAATAAAGATATTACCTGACTCTGAACATAATCCCAAGGCTTTGTGAACTCGGTAGCTTTTTCTTTGTACTTGGTCTGCAAAGTTTTTGTAAGAGATCCAGTGAAATGGTCGAGGTCCTCAAACTGAAAACATTTAGACATATAATGTTTCATGATATCGAGATCATGTTCTTCAGGTATAAGTTTGTGAAAGATCACTTCATGTGAAACAAATGAAAGCGACTACATATTTGCTAGGATTGCAACTGATGGGGGAAGAGTGTGGCTCAATCTATTAAGGCGCTGTGAAAAGAGGCATACCTTACATGTAGGAAGGAATATATTCTATGATCGTTTGATTAAATCCTAGATTCGCCCTGAATATGGTTCTTACATTCTATACATTAAATTCGAGGATAACGAAAATGACTTTCAACAAAATGTATAAGTAGCTTAGACCTACCCGCACAAAGTAAACGATTGTGGAAATAAAGATCGCTAGAACTCCGAAGCTGATGATCAGCGAGAAGGTGATGTACTGAAACAGTTACAGTATACTATCAGCATACGAATTGGCGCTGGAAAACACAAAGATAATCAGTTACGGAAACTTGGTTCATCAGTGTACTGGAAAGGTTGAACGCCACACAAAATTACTTTTGAAAAATAACATGAAATTTAACAGGTGGGATATTGGGAAGAAAATCCATATTAAAGAAGTGAGTTAGTAAGTGAATGTTGTTTTTGTCACAGTTAACACTATTCCAGCTATATAATGACGACCTGTAAATAATCCACTGTGGTACAGACATATCAATGGTTCAAGTGTCAAATGTTCTGAAAGTGAAACACAACCCTAGTCTCTGAGAAAGTGGCATCACAAGTCAGTATCCCGTGTGTCTGCCATGTGCATTGATGACTGCCGTGCAACGTCGATACATGGAATGGATGAGGCGGTTGATGAAGGCCATAGGCACTTGAGCCCACACTCCGAGGAACGCCTGACGCAAGTTCAGCTGCAGTTGTCGGCCTTGGTCGAACGTCATTCAGCCGTCTTTCAATCTCGTCCCACAGGTGCTCAATGGGATTTAAACCGGGGCTGAAGGCAGGCCACTGCATGGTTCTGATGCCATTTTCCTGGACGAAGTCTCTTGTTGCTCTCGCAGTGTGGGCACGGGCGTTATCATGCTGAAACTCGTGGTTGCGACGACGTGCTAAATGAGGTATGGCGTGTGGTCTCAAGACTTGATCAATGTACCGAGTCTGCTGTGACACCATTGCCTCTCTCTGGACCGATGGTCTGGAAGACCAATTCCACCCCATACCATGATGTTCGGACCACCCCATGAGTCTCTCTCAACAACACAAGCATCCGAATAACATTCCCACGACGTCGCCAGATTCTCTCTCTGTCATCTGCTGTCGAGATACAGTAACGGCTCTCGTCTGAGAAGAGGACTCTTCTCCACTGCCGGCAATGCCAATGCTGGTGCTGTGCTGCCCACTGAAGACGGTCCCGGCGATGACGTGATTCCAGAATGGGTCCTCGGTGTGGCCTGTGATAGTGGAGGTGTCTGCTCGGCAATCGTCGACACACGGTGTCCGCACTAATGTGTCGCTGGTGTGTCCACATTGTCTGTCGGGCAGTTTCCGCAGCAGTTACAAAGCGATCTTGAAGATGCTGTCGCACGATCTGACGATCCTGACGTCGGGTGGTGACCCTTGGTCTTCCACTACGTGGTCGGTCATCTGTAGTGTTGGTACCGGTACCGTTGCTGGGGCCTGTATATGGACCTTACGTGGACTTGAAATGCATTGGCTACTTGCCGGGCTGTTTTTCCATCTTGCAATCGTCCAAGGGCTGGGTGTCGCTGATTCCTTGTCAATCTTGGCATGTGGTAGCCATTCAATAATGAATGAATGTTATCCGATCTGGGTGGAATTTGATAGGGCAATAAATAGGGGAACGCATGTGCATTTCAATTTGCACGGAACGCACGTGCATCGGCCGTTGCCGTGATGCGTTTGGGCGATCGGTTTTATTGTCATCTGCTTTGTTTTTTTATCATCAAATTTCATTTTTCCGGACAAGGTATTGTTAAATTTTAGAAACTTTGACAAAAAGTACACAGATACATAAATGACAAATTTTCATGCAATGTTAATTGGGGTGGTTTCCTTTGCGGTTCAGTATATAATATGGTGAATCATCAACCGTGTTTTGCTGTCAATCTATATTGACGACATATAACATGTTCTTTGTTCCTACCATTCCCAGCAAACACTCGCTCTTATTGGAAGCTCCGACACAGCCGCAGAATGAGACAAGCAACACAAGGGCACCGAAGACAATGATGATCCAGGCGCTATTGTTGAGATATTGTTCATATCCATGCAGCTCAATTTGAGTTAGGAATTGGGTTGGTGAAGGGTGAACCTTGATAAAAATTCCAAAACCAATTGTGGCCATCCCAACAACCTGAAAAGAGTCAAGAGCCTTAACATTGTAAAACTTTTAGAGTTTGTGGGGTGATATATTCAGAAAACATACACGAACATGCAAATCTATGACTGAGAACAAAACTGAGGGTATTGTGGTGAGTGATTAGTGTTTTACGTCACGTTTAGGAATATCCAACCATACCATGACGAAGGTACACAAGAAATAGGCTTTAGGATGTCCCATAGTCTGAATTAGGAGTATGTTGTATAGTAATCTAGATTATTGAATCTAACTGTCCAAATGATAAAAACATGTGGTCGGTTCATTCAATTGCCGTGAGCCCACTTTTGAAATAGTCTTCATATGAGCTTCAGCATGGCTTAACATATGTCTGTAAAGTTTTCCTGATAATGTTAACTCCATTGCTATCCCTACTATCCCTCCGCTCCCATTAGAACAAAGATCATTTGTAAGGTCATTGGAAAAAGTCATACTTGTGCGTTGAGGTATTCAAGATTGATACTCAATTAATTCAAAACAACACTGAGTCCAAGCCACTCACTGACAGTAGGGAGAACACAAACAAGTTATTTATATTTACATATAGGTGTGTTTTCTAGAGTCCAGAAATTAAAAAGGCAAAATCAAACCATGTACATATATTTCATAAAATGTATTTATTTGACATTTTAGGGTTTGAAAAGTATGTTTTATATAAAATAAATGACCATGAAAAAGGAAGAGGTAATTTCTGTACATACCGCAAAGATGAAATTGAAGAAGATGAAGAGGCAACTAAAGGTTTTCCCACAACAGCCCAGCTCCATCTTTGTATATGTAGTCGTAGGAAAAGAAGTCCAGTTGTAACTGTTGTAGATAGATGAGTTTATTCAACTTGAGCAAGAGCTAAAGGCTGAAGTTCAATTCGCTGATAAAACGATAAAACAGTTACATCTTCCCATGCAAGACACCATATTGTATTTGTAGAGTTCGTAAAGTGTGATCGTGCCACGAGCAAAGAGTTTGGGTAATGCTTATGCAACGTTACTACCATTTATTTACGGTGGATGTTCGATAGTCAGGACCCCATTATTCCAGAATCTCTACCGTTTGGGCGCATAATGTTGGGAACGCGGATATGAAACTAAAGCGTTATTACAGAATACCCATGATTCGTTAAACCCGAAATCCGGTTCCTCTGGAATTGCCTTTACCATAAAGTCATCGACAGTTTAGAAGTTTTTAGCAGCACTGTTAATTAAGTATAAACATATTTGAAAGGGTTTCTGCTCAACATGTCATATATTCTTGTTGAAAATGACTTGAAGTTCCTATTGGTTTATATGGACAAATTCTTGACTCCAAAAGTGAAGGTCAATGCCACGATACAGTGAAGCCAAAATATACGTAACACAATACTGTTACACCTATATGAAATATTTGTGCTCCATGTCAACTGATATAAAAGTAGAAACACCGTATGGCCAGGACAGGTATGAATATGAATGACGGCCGCTTGTCAGATGACTTTGTCTTTCCCACATCACCACATATTGTATGTATGAAGAATCACATGGATTGAAATATATATTTTCCTTCCTCAAAATGTCAATGGTAAGTTTTAATTTCAGAGACATCGTTTGCATACACATACACAACATACGAGGAGTTGCTGAAACGTTCTGAGCCTCACTATGATGGACTATGTTGATGGAACTGGTTGCTAATTATTTTACAATATATTCCACTCCGAAGTCCACAAACGTCGGGCAACGAGTCTCTTCATCGCAATTGTGCAAAGGGCTCTCACCCCTTACATTCTATTCCTGTGATCGGATTGATCTATGAATTTGATTACACGTGTTCTTCAAACGCATGCCAAGAATTGCAAAAAACACCTCTCATTGTCCTTTCCTTTTTATAATTCGTACTTTGGAAGGGGAACATACGAAGAAAAAGGGAAAAAACACAATACTATTCCTACGGTATTAGCATTTTAGTGGTTGGTAAGTAACCGTAAAGACAAAATATTTTATGGATGACAACTTCTTTATCTATTAGGGTCCGACGGTTCGGTGTAGATCCTTATATCGTTGTCAAGCACCAGCTCTATACCAAAACGTCGCATCGTAATAAATAAAGGAGTTGTCGTCCATGAATAATCTTGTCTTTACAATAAGTGCGATTCCACAGACAAATTGAAGTAACCCTCTAAATGAAGAAAATTTCAAGACACGTGTTAACGAAGCACGTTTTAAAAGTATTTCATATCTGCAATGGTCTTATCGATAGCTTCATCACAGAAGTAATGACATTCCGAAAACTAAATCGTTTGAAGTTTCAATCACTAAGGTTTTGTCGTATCGGTTGTGGTGATATTTTCCATGGCTGAACCATGGGATACAGAGTATCGGGATTGAAGAGATGGATCAAGATCAACATGGGGGCCATCACATTACCGCATCTCTGAGGTGGGTTGAATATTCAATCCTGCCAATTAGAGGTGGAGAAGCCTTAGCACTTTGACAACCCTACTCAAAGTTTTACGTACGTACACACGGACTACTGTGCACGATGCAATATACTTATATTAATGCAACAAGACACAATTCCATTGAACGTATATTCCCATGTTGTTTCTGTGGCCTTGCGTTTGAAGCAGATAACATGTTTGTGCATGTTCATGATACGAATAAACATCAAAACCTCTAACATTTACCTCACAAGTAACAATGGTCCAAGTAAGTGTATAACGTCTATTCGCCTGTCGTCCTTCCGTCTTCCGGACGTCTCCGAATCAGGTGAAGAGATGAACCTGAACTTGTAGGGGGGTGTCTGGCACCATATATAAAGACGGACTTGATAACAGGGTTCAATGTTTCGTACAATAAAATTTAAAACATATATAAAATAGATTGGATAAAAAATCACAAACTTCTCAAAAACCGTAATGCAGGACGGCTGACATGTATTTGTCATTCATAAGAACCTGATGTGACATGGGAGTGTTCATACTTGCATGCACATGACAAACTATATACAGTTGTATCATATATCATCTGAGAAACCTCAAGGTAAAACTATTTGTTTCTCATAAAATTAAAAGAAATGCTATTCAATTACATGATAAACTATGTTAACCTAAATCCAACGTATGCAGTTCATGTTAGTATACTTAATAATTACCTGTGACTGTTATGTGTATTACATTTTGTAATTTTCATTCACTATATAGTCGGTTTTTGTGGCATTACGCAGTCACATAATCATATCTAAACACAAATACACAGTGAACATATATATGGCCACCAATTGTTGACACGTAGGAGACAAACTCACTGAGAATACATGACTTTTCGCATAATTTCTAAGGTAAAGGTTGTTGTCTCACCTGTTGAGTGCTACCTGTATCTTCGGCGTTGTCGAGGCAAATACAGCAGCGTATCTGTACTCACGAACAGCAATAGCAAGTTGACATTGATTAAGTTATGTTGCCATTTCACCGCATATGGTGTCCTGGATTATTGCATGGCGTGATTGAACTGTCACAATGTGAAATGGGTCTGAGGTAGTAACGTTGTTGACTGTGAAATAATCCATAGTCGACTGTTCATTTAACGATCCCCACGCCCTGCATAAACTTTCTCTGAGTTCAGACCCTCGGACTTTAGTGTGACCAGATGTATTGGACTTGGAAATTTATGTTCCTAGGATGTCGGGCAGAAGAAGTAACACGTACAGATATGTCTTGGGAAAGTCTTTACTGTCTGGGGATGTACAATTTTATTTAGAAACCCAAAACATATTTCTTGTGCACATGCTTTGTTAAAAGTATTTTATTCGTCAAAATAGTCATTGTGGACTGCAATAGACGAATGTGTACAAAGTGACATGTGACAATCAATGGATGTTAGGAATGAAAGCGTCATGATGAAGATGTAGGGGCGTGCATTTCTGCGAGATCGGCTCAGGTTACACAGGATAAAATAAATCCACAGTGAATGTGTATAACTGGACTCGTCAATAGTGTTTCACGTACTCCATGTCCACTAGGCCCGTGAACCCGGATGTTCACGGGCCCAACACAGGTACATATATATATATATTAAATAAGGTACAGTTGACGAATTCTCAACTGTAGACACACTGAAAGCCATTTTCTGTGTGGCATTGGGAACTAGAATCAATGTCTGTAAAACAAGGACGTACAAGTAGAAAATATAAATGAGTAAGTATGGTTTTACGCCGCTTTTAGCAATATTCCTGCAATATCACGGCGGGGGACACCAGAAATGGCCTTCACACATTTCACCCATGACGGGAATCGAACCGGGGTCTTCCGCGTGCCGAGCGAATGCTTTAACCACGAGGCTACCCGACCGCCCCTAGAAAATATAAAGAAACCAGTGTTATATGTTATATAGAGTGAGTATGGGTTCAGGCCTTCTTTGTTCCAGCAATGTCATAGAGTGAAACAACAAGCATAGGCTTTATGCATTGTCAACAGATGGCTATTGAACCCGGTCTTTGATTTGACGAACCAACGCTTCAATCATACCTCATACTCGATAGCACTTCATGTGTACCCCTATATATATGCGCTAAAACACAAGTCATCTAACGTAATGCAACAGGCATCATATCAGAAACGTGTAACCACATTATTAAAACGCCAACGCCAGGGAATAATCAGTCTATTATCCGCCGAAACAGGTTCCGTTGGGCGGAAAAGGCACAATAGTGTTGAAAATGATATGAGTGGGTTGTCACAACCCTTAATGTAAAAATTATTTAAGCCTTGTTGCAACCCTTAATGTAAAAAATACTCTTAAAGTAAAACTTTTTTACATTATGGGTTGAAGTGATAGATGATATTTTATTTTTACAATAAGGGTTGTCATGAGCACTATGAAATAATACTTATCGAACATTCATGAGACGTCGCAGATTTAATTGATCGTTACTTTGTCTAGATATGCCTAATCACGTTTAGATTCCCTCTCTACAACGACCACCTGGTTGCTTTCTGCAGGCTTTATAAAAGGGTTTATCACCCCTTACCCTTTTAACCGATTTCTATCAACCTTACTGTGTCACAGAGGTTATTTTTCGATACAAGGTAACCTCATTTCCGTTACTATCCTTATACCATGACGACGGAAAGGAGGCATCAGACCAGGAAGATCAGGTTGGCCTGATATTCGACAAACAATGCCTCAGAACGCAGCCATTGTCGATTTGCAATGTCTTAAACGGCATCGTTTTCACACTTGTTAAAAAATGTCATGGAGGAAAACAGTAAAGCAAAATGCACGTCCAAGTTATGGCATTCACCGTAGCTACACCTACGTACATATCTGATCGAAGGAAATCGATGTAGTAGTTTAGAAGTTATCCCGACAAATTGAAATTACGATCATACCAGGTCGATCTCTCCCGTTGGATGTATGTAAATACACATAATATATCTCTAATGAAACCCACTTTTATCAAACATAATAGTCATAATATTTTCTCCGTATCGAACATCAACAACATATCTTACCAGTGAATATTTTATAATACCCGTATACCTCCCGAATACGTTCCGAATTGGAACCTGGCCAACCCGTTATTACCCTGAGGCTTAGTTAACCTTCGACCTTGACGGCAGCACCAGCTCCTGATCCTCAGCTGACGATATTCCACTTGCATCACGATCTGATGCTCATCACCTTCCAGAGTAGAACTGGCATGTCCTCAATAACGAGCCTGCCATTCTTCTAATAGCCCCTCTTGTTCTCAGAGCTGAGCAAACTAAGTTTCTCACGCTGTTGCTTATTACGAATAATTACAAGAAACCGAGCAAAAACAATAAAAAATGTGAAAATAGCAAAGAGGACCCTATATTTCCAATAATACTTTGTTTTGAAGAATCTTTTACAATAAGGGGCAATATGTACGATATTAACCCTTAATGTAATGTAATGTAATGTAAAACTTTTTACATTAAGAGGGGCGGTCGGGTAGCCTAGTGGTTAAAGCGTTCGCTCGCCACGCCAAAGACCCGGGTTCGATTCCCGACATGGGTACAATGTGTGAAGCCCATTTCTGGTGTCCCCCGCCGTGATATTGCAGGAATATTGCCACAAGCGGCGTAAAACCATACTCACTCACTCACTTTACATTAAGAGTAGTTTTTACATTAAGGGTTGTAACAGTGGGACACTAAATATCAGAGATGACACCAGGTGTTCCCGAAAATGGTAAGTATGCTCTGCCCCACCGGAATCACAGGCAACTACCACAATTTGCATAAAAATTGTAAGTGTGTTGCCTAACTCCGAACAGCAGTACAAAATAGTCAATCAAGTGATCGATGGACCAGAAAATCTTGTGACACGATAGCGCATGAAAGAAAGAAATACAATTGGAAACAGAATCAGACTTGACCTTTGTGGTTCCAGACATGTCTTTCTCTGAAGCAACTTGAGTCATACGTCTGTGTATCTGTCACCTTTATCGAATGTAATACAAGCGTAACTCGTTTACATATTGATTCGCTATTTACTTATGCAGAATAACCCAACTTTATCGTGTGTAAATAAAGTCGAAATCGATATATTGATAATCTCCCGTCTTGACCTGATGACTAGGTTTCCGAGGACCGCAGGTTTGTATTGATATGAGGATATGACACAACCAGACAAAGCACACAGTCTAACATGTATGTCTCATTTAGAAAGTTGCAAATGCTCTTAAGAACATAGAATTCAAAACAAGCTTTGTATATGATCACAGAACAATATAATTGTCAAGACCAATGACATTACTAACGGGAATGAGTGGACTTAACGAAATAGGAATTTGACGACTGCGGCAGGTGGACCGCGGCTTACTTGCTGTTATCGCTGTCACCTCATGTCAGGATTAAGTTCCAGGGATCCATTCATACTGTTTTCGCCGCTGTTTTACCTTTTGCGTCCGTTTGTTTCTGCGGATAATCCCGACTGGTTATTCTGTGGCGTTTTATGTATGTTATGTTTGAAAATTTATTGTGCTAATATTCGTCTGTTGTCTTTTGATTCAGTCTTAATACGTAAACATCCCACTAAATGGATCAGATAGGTAAATTGTGATTCATAGGGAATGAAGTATTAAACTGGTTACGGCATATCAAAATGTCTTCGCAAGGCTGATACACCTGGGTAGGTAAACCGTACACTGTATATTGACCAAAACAAATGACGTCATCTAGATGTGAATGTGGTAGTATGCTTTTGTGCCGCTTTGAGCAATATTCCTTCAATAGCACGACCGAAGAACACCAGAAATTGGCGATACACATTGGGACATGTGGGAAATCGAAACGGACATTAGACGTGTCAAGCGAATGCTTTAAACACCTCCCAGTCCCTTTTCCCAACAAGAGTACAATGTGTGTTGCTACAAACGTTGTGTAAGCCAACTCATCATACATTTTCAACACAATGAATGTCCATGATATATGTACATTCCTTTAGTTATATATGGCACGTGTACACACATAGAACAAAACCCCGATTGCATTATTAAACTTTATAAGCACAGCCGGTGGCGTTACACACGTTTCAACATTAAGAACTAAGCTATGGTTCAAGTCTACTTGTACACACAATTTAAGATAACAACAATTCAGTGCTTCAGAAAGATACAGAATCGGCCTTATTTTACATTTGAGCACGTTTTGTGTATTAATGTATACTTATTACAGATTTGACAGTAACTGATATAAGAAAGAGAGACAGCCCTTTCCATATTCAGAAATGTCAACCGTTAGCAGATTCCGGCTCTGACATGAGCACGAGTTATGAAACACTATCCAACAGTGGTGATAACAAATGTTTGCGGAATGTGCCCCGCCGGTACCACCCGTCACCATTACATGTCAAGGCAAGTCAAGTTTTCACCTGGCAAAACAAGGAATTGAAAGTTGAGGCAGTGAATGCTGTAACCCTGATCAAAAACCTTTTTAGCACCAATCGTATGACGCTCTTTGGGATGCCAGAAGACTCGATTCTACTTTAAAAGTTGGGAAATGTAGACACCACAGTACATATTCTTTGAGCAACGATGTTCCGGGTATATTGTTCAAAAGGTTTGTCAGAAACGACAATATATTTTGAATTATCTCCCTTTCTTCACGCAACAAAAGGCTTGTGCTTTAACACTGACGAATTTTATCTCATGTATATACTCTTCATGAAAAGAATTATACATGCATAAATTTGATGACACTGGACCCGATCGATTTTGTATGGTAGAAATTTAATTTTATTTCTAAGGAATCATTACAATTCATTAAATTTTCGAGTAAACATACAGATTTCCCGAAAAAGTAATGTTGTGACGTTGCGACGGAGTAATTCACCCAAACGCAACTGCCACGCCATAAACGTGCCGCATGCAACTGTCTGAACTGTAGTGACAATTCCTCTGTCAGCAAGGTTTAAAAGACCACGTCAGAAAAAACAGAAAACGAGCCGTTAAAATGCCACGTCTATCAGAAGCACAACGCAACAACGCCATCGGCCGACTGGAAGCTGTGGCGCAGGTGATGGTAGTGACCAGATTGACCATCTCTAACTTGTGGAGACGTTACACCACCGGTAAAGTTCGTGACGGGCCAAGGTCAGGACGACCTCGCGTTACAACGCCTGGCCAAGATCGCTACATCTGGGTACGACACCTGCGGGACCGTTTCATCACGAAGACGTCAACAGCCTCACAAATACCGGGACTGCGTTGAAAATCGGATCAGACTGTTCGAAATCGTCTGAGAGCAGCCGGTATTCTAGCCAGGAGACCCGTACGGGATAACATCCTGACGCCGCATCACCTCCGTGAACGTCAAGCAAGATGGAGACGTGTTCTCTTTACAGTCGAGTCCCGTTTTCTGCTGAAACGTGCTGACAGACCTGCCCGTGTGAACCGACTTCGTAACGAACGTTACGCTGAAAATTGCGTTCAGCAAGTGTTTCCGTTTGGAGGGGGAAGCGTTATGGTGTGGGGAGGCATTCATCACGGAGGCCGGACAGCTATTGTGAGAATGGATGGTGCTCTGAATGGTCTACGCTACCGCGACGAGATCCTGCAGCGTCACGTTGCCCACTTCATCAACGTCAATGGCGTCATCTTTCAGCAGGACAAAGCCAGACCCCATAACGCATGTTTCTGCGTCAGAACAACGTGCCTACGTTACCCTGGCCTGCCCGCTCGCCAAACTTGTCCCATATTAAACATATGTGGAACGTGCTGGATCGTCGTGTCCGTCAACGCCAACCACCGCCACAGGCACTTCAGGATCTGTTTGTGGCGCTAGAGCAGGAGTGGCAGAACAACCCCCAGGCTGTTATTCGGAATTTGATAGCGTCTGTGGGCAGTCGCTGCCATGGCCATGTGGTGATAGCAGCTCGAGGAGGCCATAATCGTTACTGACTTTCCACCTACCCCGGACGTCCTTGCGCCTGTTTTTGTTAAGCGCATATTGTACAGCAATACTTTACCTATACATCCCACTATTTATAATATTTATTAAATGTAAACTCGAAAAATAAACCAAGTTGCAATCCTGATGCATAGTTTCTTTTTTTTAAAGAGTATATATTGACATGATAAGAAAACGGTCAACATGTAGCTTAAGTGTCTAAGCATGGTTCTAATAGTGCGTGTCTGTTTTCAAAGTCTTTAACTATGCAGATAAGTAACTGATCCATGAATATCGGATCAGACTGTTCGAAATCGTCTGAGAGCAGCCGGTATTCTAGCCAGGAGACCCGTACGGAATAACATCCTGACGCCGCATCACCTCCGTGAACGTCTGCACTGATGTCGTCAGAGAGTCACATGGCCTCAAGCAAGATGGAGACGTGTTCTCTTTACAGTCGAGTCCCGTTTTCTGCTGAGACGTGCTGACGGACCTGCCCGTGTGTACCGACTTCGTAACGAACGTTACGCTGAAAATTGCGTTCAGCAAGTGGTTCCGTTTGGAGGGGGAAGCGTTATGGTGTAGGGAGGCATTCATCACGGAGGCCGTGATAAGAAAACGGTCAACATGTAGCTTAAGTGTCTATGCATGGTTCTAACAGTGCGTGTCTGTTTTCAAAGGTCTTTAACTTTGCAGATTAGTAACTAAGTCTCTAAGGACACTTGAACATCCCTAAGAGCGTCGACCAGGTCTGTTCTTAAATCCTGAAAAGCTGCTTTGTTCTATTGAAATACATAATAATTATGACACGCAAGTTCTCTTCAGAAAATGTTTATTCGTAAATATTGAAAGATCATTTACAAAGTTAAATGCACAGTTTAACGACGACGAAAGAAGTTCAGACATAAAGATGAATCCGACAAAGGTGACAACCGACATGATGAAGTAAAACAAAACCAAAACAGTCGGAACCTACAAAACTAACTTGAAATGTCTGACAATGTTTTGCAGAAAAAATAAATGGCTTATATATAGTTCAGATAACAAAATGATTCCGACAAAATCAATCTTCAACCTTCAAAGCTAACAAGTAATAATGTCTTGTAAGATATCTTATGATTATGGAAATTGTTTTATCGCTTTTATTAGTACAATTGGATATAAATATTTGTAATTGTACATACAACTATTGATTGCCAAAACAGTACAATTGTGCCAAAACAATTAATTTGAGTAATGGTTATCAAAAATATGTCTCCATACCCTTGAGTTTTATGTGACTCTATAATGAACAAGATACACTATTCATGATAATGGCTACACCAATGTTTGAGGACGAAACCTCCACCTTAAAAACGAAAAAAACATTCTTGTGTGTGAAATTCATGCTTTAGTAATAAACAGAACTAACACAGACAAATGTGTATAATATTGAATACTCGATTTTAATGATAGTTTATGTCCGAATGCAATGTTTATAATCTCAGTTCAGCTAAAATGTTATAGTCAGTAAGACACGGACAAACTAAAATAACATGATCTATTTATTTGAGTAAAAAAAAATTGTAACATACATATCAAAGTGAATAAACGTGTACCTAAGACACCGGTGGCTATGAGCATACAACGCATTATGTTGTAACTTCTGACGTCTTACGTTCTGACTCACACATTATGCTTTTGCACTGTGGTGACGTTTATATTTGGAAACTATATTTGAAAATAAACCTTTTCATATAACTCGTCACAGACAATAATTGCATTGATATTCGGTTGATAAAACGTTTTATATTTAAGTGTTTCCCATGGGGTTAGTCCTTAGAAGGCTGCAAAAATGCTTTGAGATATGTGTATTATTTAGATAATCAAACATCGTTGTGTCGAAGTTGACGGGACCTTCGTAAACACTTCTCGTTATCCAGGATTCCACACAACCGAAAATGATGAATAAAGAAGGAATATGCAGAGACCAAGCGTTCGACACATCAAGGTTCGACAAAACGGTTTTTGACTGCACATGTAAGTGTTAACCATATGAACAGAACTATAAATGTCCAAAAGAGAATACTTTGTTAACACAAACACAAATTCAGTAAAATGGTTCATAAGTTGCTTTGGTGTCATAAAAGCAAACATATGCCCTTCTATTCTTTCATTAGAGCGTCCTTCATTAATCACACTAGAGGCATGATAAGAATGATATAATAATAAGTGCATGTGTATTGCGCCCTTTCACAAATGGATGCTCACAACGCTTCCAGGTAAATAAACTGATGCATGTTGTATGAATACACATATGAGTAGCACTTAAACAAAACATTAAACATTACCACTTTTCGGCAGGTTTTATTAATGTAATGTTTAAGTACAGTGCTCTGAATATCGCCTCATATAAAGTCTTCGATAATCATTGACCGTAACTGATTTGAAACATGGACACTACACTTCCTGGTATCACGAAAAGAAACAACCGTCATTGAAAGTTCGAACACTGGCGTTACCTCTAATTAACAGCCTGCACTTTGCCTAGTGTTTAATATTTACACATTCAAATGCATGTGTCTTGAGAAGCTTTTCATATTTTTCTGTACAACATCAGATCTTCGTAGGGAAAGTTGAAACACAGATTATACTTTTTCACCAGTGCGTCTGCACAGACATGCTGCAATGATGATACCGATTATCTGAAATGATCAATGCAAAGGTGTAAGTATTATTTACACGTATTTCGTAGTTTTGAATGAAATAGTCAGCATTAACGACATTAAATGTCCGTTCTATCAGTCAGCTGTCGCACGCAAATTGGACTGTTTATACAAACTGGATTCTCTTGAAACGGGTTGTGAGGAGACTGTCAAGTTAGTGGGACATTAATAAGTGGATAATTTATATGATATGTCAAACAAATGAAATGCAGAAAGAGAAAACACAAGCCTGGACTGTATAACCTGACAAATGAAATACAACAACTATGAATTTTACAAATAATCTGTGATATTATGTATCAAATCTGGTTTGAACAGTTTTGAACTCCTTGTATCGAACTTTGCAACACAATATTAACAGATATAATGTAACACATGTGAATTGACACGATGAAGGCACAGTTAGTGAGTAATAAGAGCGGAGGAACTTCCCACAACTGAATACTTACCAATTTAGTAAGGGACCGACCATTTGATATTCTTTGGGGTTTGGGTAGGGGTGTGTGGGATGTGGGGTGTGGGCCGTGTGTTTGTATCAAAAAAAATAAATCGTCCCCGAAAGATTCTTGGAAAAAATGAAGATGCCTGCAACAAAATTTACATTATTGCAAGGTATTTTTCTTTTAAAAAACCCATTCACGCCTATAGTTATAAATAAAAAAATGTCTGGTTTTGTAGCTGCAGCTGAACAAATATATAATCTCAATACAAAATCCCAGCCGACACCCTGCAACCCCCAGAATATTGAATAGTCGGTCCCTAACGTGTAAATGAAAATGCAAAAAATGTAATTTTCTCAAAACGTTGACACGTGCATCTTTCAGATTTAGAGATAAATAATGTAACTGCAATGACGACGGCCTCCGTTATGAAAAGGGTAGTGCTGTGACAATTCAACGTTACTCAATTTCACCGCAATGACGATTGCTTCAAATATGAAGATCGCGGTGCTGTTTGAATACATAGATACTTACTGTTACCGCAATAACGATTGCTTCAAATATGAAGAGTGCAGTGCTGTCAGAATACATAGATACTTACTGTCACCGCAATGACGATGGCTTCAAATATGAAGAGTGCAGTGCTGTCAGAATACATAGCTAATTACTGTCACCGCAATGACGATGGCTTCAAATATAAAGAACGCAGTGCTGACAATACACATATATACTTACTGTCACCGCAATGACGACGGCTTCAAATATGAAGAGCGCGGTGCTATATTCATGCACCTTTTCCTTCAGCAGTTGGAAGCATCCCTGGAAAATGCACATGCGCATTAATATCACGCTGAAGCTCTATAGTCATATATTTAGTATGCAGATGACCGTTTAGTATCTTTATAACATACTAAAAGTTATAGTAATTACACTACAATGCGAAAGTCTGTTATAGTGTTCTGCTGTAAATTTGCGAATAATCCGGAGACAAATTCCAAATTATTCACAAATAATCCACGATTTTTTACGAAACTTTGTTTTTTTTACGTCACTAATGGGACTCAATGGCAATTCCCTTTATATAAGATTCAACAGTGTGAATGGATTGCAGGGTATGTTTGATAAATAAACACCATTTTTCTTAAATGTTCCTGCCATTATAATGTTTTCCTTAAAAATGAAGACATGAAGGTCCACATGCGTGATTGTATCACGTGAAAGCTCTCTAGATCTATTAACATGTATACAACGCAGATGACAGTTTAGCGTATTTATAATATATATATAATATACTTAACACTGTATATATAATATTAATATATATTTGAATATATACTTAACACTATATATATATATATATACATGTTAATTTAAGTGAAATGCCTATTTGTGTTCTGTACAACTGAGGGAAAATGCACCAGATCACACATGCACCGTTGTTTTACCTGCTTGAACAGAAATTGGCAGTTCCCGGTGGAGTTTATTGCGTTAGCCGACTCGGTGGTACAACAGCTCGCTGGTAATTTTCCCTGAAAGATCAGTAAACTGTGAACATTTGAAGGACTAACCAGCCTATTATAATATGTTATTGAATCATCATCGTATGTTAAAACTCATGCTGGGCTGTCCCTTTTAAGAATTACATCGTTCTTTAAATTCCATTTCAATACACGTCAATCGCAAATTTGCATACCATGTGAGCTGTAAAATCAGTAAGTACATACATGCAATATAACTATGAATATTTTAAGGGATAGAGGGAATAAGAACTTGCTCAGGTATTTGGGGCGTCCAGTGTAGCTTCATTTGCTAAGTCCCCCAAAACGCCCTTCCATACCGCTTTTGGTAAACATGTATTATTAATTCCTTTCAAAGGAATGCAGTTAATTCATGAAAAAAACATGCATGGTACACACCTTCTCAGTGCCGGTGTACACAGTGTCGTAATCTTTGTGGTCGGAGACACCACAGCATTTGAACTGTTAATACAAAAATATGGACATGTGTCAGACAAGAAAAGCACACCATTATCCGACTGTGAAGTGTTAATTGCAGTCTGTTCCAACCCTTTTATGTCTGGAAAAATGTCTTTTATTAAACTGACTCAATGTGAAATAGCTATGACAATGTTTGGCATTCATAATGGATCGGTCATGAAAAGCTATTAAATGGCATTTTCATTGTCGTCTCTGATAATCACAAATGAGAATGATTAGCATAAGACGTGCAGTGAAAACGTGAATGGGCTGTACTAAACAGTGCCAGGTAAGATTTACTGAAAAGCAATATGTACACGCAGCATATTCTTATCACGACCTATTGAATGTGTGAGGAAAGCCCGAAGTGACGTCAAGGTGTATCTTCGTCGTGTACGACTTTGTTGAACATACGGGAGCGGTATGGGGAAACATACATAAGCGAATCTGGTATTCGAAACTTCTATCTGGGGATTTTCATACGCCTGCGGATGGACGTCTAATTGCTGCACCAAGTAAAATGTTACTCAGAGTAATAATAATGAGCAATATATCATATATTGTGCTGCTTCCTAAATAACAAAACCCTTACCGTTTTTTGAAGATAGTCCCACGAATTTCTGAACTCGTTGGTCGTATTCTTCTTGTACTCGTTCTGTACATTTAGTGTAAGGTTGGCTTGGAAGCTGTTGACGTCATCAATCTAACAAAATATAGATCGTATTTTAATATACCACCCTCCGTAACAAGGCCAGGATGGAATTCTGGCAAGGATAACGCCATTAAAGTATATTTGAATAAAGTCGAACTAATCATAACAAATCTGTTACAAAAAAGAGTTCATTATGCGATTCCGACTATGTGATAAGCATGTGTTATCAATTAGTCATAACACCATGTGTTCGCGAAAACGTGGGCGTCTCGTACCCCTCCGGTGTCACCTGTCACTCTTTCTGAAAATGATTCATCCACATCGTCACCAATAGTATATAAGTGATGTTTCAGGTCTGTTATTTTATCATAATGTTGATGTGAAGAGGCGTTATGTAAAACCTTTGTCAACAAACCCTTGTTTATAGCAGTACCCTTGCTATTGTAGCTAGTTTCGACCTCTCTATACGCAACAGTCCAGAGTGCTATAATGCGTAGGTTAGACGTACCCGCACAACTAACATGACTGTGATAGCCAAGGCCGCTAATTCTCCAATGACGATGACCACAGCAAAGGCGATGTACTGAAACATAAACGGTACTTATTTATGTTTGTTTGTTGTTCAACGCCGCACTCAATCCAGTTATTGACATTATGAGCATAGATCGACGCAATTGGGATATGATGACATGTATCAACCAGGTGAGCGAGCCTGACCACCCGATCCCGTTAGTCACCTCTTACGACAAGCATAGTCGCCTTGTACGGCCTTGCTGAAGACCTATTCAACCCCTGTACTTCACGGGTCTACACATTCATTATAACGATTCGGGACTGAAATGGATGTTGAACGGATTGAATCATGAGGTGAGGTTAAAATTCGGTTTAAGATTACTGCACTTATATAGCGACGTGCATGCACGTGTGTGTGTGTGTGTGTGTGTGTGTGTGGCTGTTTGTACTAGTCCGGTCTAATGTCGATTTATAGTGCTAGCTCACTGAGATACCATGCCGTAGTTTAACACGAATACCCCACTCAGACATTGAATACTGACTACGAGCCGACCAGTCCTTGTTTTAGCCCCTTTATGACGAGCGATAGACAGGGTCACAACAATTACTATCTTTAAACTTCTTTTGGTATGACGCGGCCGAGGATCGAACCCCGGACCTTCCGCTTTCTGGGCGGACGCTCTACCACAAGACCACGGAGGCAGTCGATTGAATCATGAAGTCGGATGTAATTATGGTAATGAAGTCAACTTACAAACGTAATCTGTATTCATTTTGTGAGCGTCAAGTGGCAATGATGAGACCCAATGATATGGGGTCTGCACACCCTAATTATCAGTATAACTTTCATTACAGTTGCCTATAAACTTGATAGGGGTACCTTGTTAAACTGCGGCATGGTATCCCAGTGGGCTAGTAGTATCAAACTGGCACTAGTCCAGACTGAGACATGCAGCTTCACACATACTAGCACGCACGTCGCTATGTACACGTAAGTGCAATAATCTCGTAGTATGAGTCCTCACCTACTATGAGTCCCGAGTGAGTGTACGGAGTTACAGCGTGTGGTCATGTTGATACTGTTTTATCGAGTTTTGATGCCGACCGCTGAATGGTCTCGATTATTATAAGGCCATACAAGATTCAATGTCGCTCTGATATTCCTTGCATTGGCTAAACATTAACATTCACAAGCCCACAAATGTATGCGATTTGCGCCACTCCAGTATCTTACAGACGTGTGAGAAAAATAGAGATGTGTTGACCTATGGCACATGGCATGGTTTCAAACTACAGCTCTTACTGCGAAATATTTCATAATGTCGTACACATGAATCCCTCGTGTAGTGTATGTCCTAATATGAAACCTATTTCAATATTTCGTGACAAAAAGGGTGAATGAATACCCATTGATGAACGCTTGATGACGCGCAATCAGTGAGTGCACCGAGATAGACCATGATATCACCTTTAAGTCAACAAGCATGGGTCACTAGGTGACTATTCCTAACAGGAATCCCGTCGGGAGATGACAAGAACAATAGCAATATATTACACGACACTCGTCCCCAATACGATACTTCATTCAGACCTTTACCTCATTTGGTAATCACCATGTAAGATTTTATGAAAAAGCATTTTTCTTACTTTGGTAGTATTGTTTCAATAGCTACTGCTTTGTATTATAGTACCTACCAGTCCCAACAAGCACTTGCTCTTAGTGGAAGCTCCGACACAGCCACAACAGCAGACAAGCAGCACGAGAGAACCAAAGCCAATAATGATCCAGCCACTATTTTCGAGATAGTGTGCACCATCTTCTATCTCCACTACATTTAGTAGTTCTGAAGCTGATGGGTCAGCCTTGAGATATATTCCCAATGCTAAGGTGCCCAAACCCAAAACCTGTAAAATGCAATATTACAAATAGGAATACTATAATATATTCGTCACATGTAATAGGATGTCGAGGGATTTCAAAAACACCCAACTCTATTATATTTTTTGTCGCTTTAACTATTATTTCAGGTATATCACGGTATACAATGACATGTCGAAAACGTTGAGGTGTATTGCAAGCACAGTGTTCGTTTTCTTCAGTCGTTACATATGTGTTGAAGAGCAGTGATACTTCTTATATATTTATGTATGTTTCTTTTAAACAATGCTAATTCCAATGAAGATAGACTTAATATGTTGATGTTCTTATGACTTACCGAAAAGATGACATTGAAGAAGATGAAGAGGCAACTGAATGTCTTTTCACAACAGTTGAACCCCATCTTTACCGGCTGTAAAGAAGAGAATACAAAATCATAGCGTGTGAAGTCTTGCACAAGGTGGTAACGCTATAGCTGTGACACTCGTTTATTGTGAGTGAGTGAGTGCGTATGGGTTTATGCCGCTTTTAGCAATATTCCAGCAATATCACGGCGGGGGACACGACACAGCAAATTGGCTTAACACATTGTACCCAAGTGGGGAATCGAACCGGGGTCTTCGACGTGACGAGCGAGCGCTTTAATCACTTGACTACCCCACCGCCCCTACTCATTTATAACTGAGGTACCAGTTTATGGAAGGCTACCCTCCCCAATACCCTCCCTCCCCAATACCCTCATCGAAACTACAGCGACAATTATACTGCCATGATAATGCAGTTCTGGAAGAAGAACCCACAGCGTTAGCACTGTTCCTGATGACACCAAATGAAACCAATCTGTTTTGAGAAAAAGCAGAAAATGAAAAAATCGGGTTTGTGCTGTCTGGCTCAGGGCATGGGCTCAACAACTGAGGTTTTTGACACACGTTCACGCTACAATGAATGCAAATATGCTTTTGTAAAGTACTTATACTACTTATACCAGTATACAATGTAATTGTCTAAATTGTGCTTGATACAAAATTACTGTGTGGTCATTTTCAACAAAGTTATGACGACAAATAACAAAACCCAGATAGTCAAAAAGATTTTGAATAGGTACGTGTACTTATACATGGCGGACTATCCGTGTACCAACGACACTTTCTACATTCAAACAATTCCGGTGTTCTAGTTGCTAGTCCTAGGATTATTGTGTCCAGATCCGCCCTGGTTCTTAGTCCTAGTCGCCATGCCTTATGAGCCAATGTCTGTTGGAGGACATCGCAAGCTAGGACACATTAGTCAGAGGTCCTATTGCCATGTGAGTACTTTCACACAGATGCCATGGGTTTATTGTAAATCGTTTGGTTTCAGGTGATACGTCGGTTGTGGTTAAATATCATAGGTAAATATCACAATAGATATGGAATAGTTGGATTATCGATTGAATGGTTGAGCGTTGGCAGCATGTGGTGGTGTTTACTGGATTTCTAAAGTAAGACGCATCATGCGCTACTAAACAGCAGAAATGTCACGGATGTGGGAAAGTGAACCTGTTTAATATCACAGGAGCGGAGCAATACCTCTGTTTGAGCTGTAATTGGTGGCTGATATTTTCGTTCGTAACCTACTTCAATCGTACATGAAGGTATGAGAGGAAAATAGATTTGATAATTATAAATTTTGACACAAATTTGCATAATCTTATTGTATACTTTAATGAAATGCAAGAGAATTAACGCAAGAGAATACTCAGTCTTGAATGCCAGGCAAACAGATTACATTGGGCGTAAAAGGCAAAATAGTGGTGAAAATTATGTGTATTGATCACTTGAGATCAGTGATGACACCAGATGTTCGCGAAAAGCGTAATAATTTCATCCTCTGCTGATAGAACTCGCCACTCATGCAAGTGGTTTTCATATATATGATGCCAGTGAGTAAGGAGGCCTAGGTGAGACACCTCCATGTTGTTTGATAGCATCGCGCCGATAATTGCGCGTAATAAAGTTAAGTAAAAGCATGTTTGTGATGGCTGTTACTGGACGCGGGGTTAGTTTATCGTTTAACAATTCAAAGCTGAAGAGCTCGCTCGTGTTCATCTCTAGTCTGTTTTCCTTTGATCTGAATGATCCAGCACTCTACTATATTCAAGGACCGTTATTCTACTGCAAAATACTTAAATAAGTATTGAAGTAAATGATATCACGGATATCTCCCCCCTCTTTCACTCGCTCTCTCCTTCTCTCTATCTGTATGTTTTTCTCTTTTTAATACCCGTTATTGTTGTCAACATGTTCGCGAAAATGTGACCGTATCCGGTCCCACCGGTGGCAACCGTCACAAACACATGCAAAGGTAAGTCATCTGTTTACTTGAAAAAGACCCAACGGTATGGTACTTGTCAAAATATGGAATTGCATCGGACATCATTTCTGTCATTGATGCATCAAATTTGGAAATGTCCTCCACATGTCTGCTATAAAACTTTTGGAAAGCTTTACTGGGCCCTTGAATGTTGCAACCTTGATCAAACAACTTCTTACCAAGAGTCTTTGGGGGCTCTTTGAAATCTCGGCAGAAGTAGCATGCTCGATTGTACCTCAAAGTTTGTGAAATGTAAACATCAAATGCTGGATCTTCAAGAATATTGCTCGACATAAATGGAAAGTTGACTATTGTGAAAGTTAAAGTTATCACTCTGGTCATACAGTATGGTAGAGAGTGTTTTGCCACTCTAAATTGTCATGCATGGATCTAAATATGAAACAGAGGAGGTGGTCTCTCAACTTGCCTCCTCATTTGAAGGAATTTGGCTATTGGATAGTTATTGAACGATATCTAATCATCTACATGTATATACCTAAAGTTTAAGATAAACTTCTTGGTCAAGTCCAGCATTTCTCATATTGTTTTCTCAGTAAACTTCAGATGACATTTGCTTTCATCTTTTGACAAATTGCCCTGAACCTGTGAAGATAGATATAAAACTGTATCTATGGTCACCACGTTCTGTATTAAAAGCTCCAGGGATCAGAAAGAAGTTTCCTCATGTGGGATAGTGGTTTACAAAGATTTAAATATTTTGACGGAATTGAACTTGGTTCTTTTCTGAGACTGAAAAACGTCAAGCAGTATTTTGTGAATCAGCATGGTATTAATTCCACTTGTCTCAAATAATTTCTGTGAATATAAAGAAAGTCCTTTCGTCATTGCATTAAGGATTATAGTTCTTCTTTGAGATAGGGATTTGGTGGTACATTTGCTGGACCCAGCAATCTAACCATCTTTGCATCTGGTACAAAAGAGGAATGGATATGTCTTCAGGTTTTAAGTTGATAGAACTGATACATGGTTTTGGCAGACTTCTTCCCAGGTGAAGATACTGACCTTATTTGTGGCATAGTTTGATTAGTCACTTGTACCAAGTTCTTTGATCAAACAATTAATGTAGTGATGCTTAAATAAGACATTATCAAGTCTTTGAAAGGTATTTAGAAGTGATGCACATGAGGAAGAAAATTTATGGCTGTCAACACAACGTTTCGGTGTATATATTTACTCCTTCATCAGGTGAATAAATGCTATGAGGCGGAGAACATATACTCAACAACAAAAGTACCTGTGTCACCAATATTTGAGTGTATTTTTCAAACAAGTAAAGTTTGGTTTTCAATATTGTAGTACATATATGGAAACAAGTAAAAAAACTGCTACAGAAAAGCATGCATTCCATGCAAAAGTTTACTTTTATGCAAGCCCATGCATTTCACCCAAGAATGGGTATAAAAACATGTGCGTTAACGGGATTCCATATGCATCGTTTAGCATCGTGCTGACAACAACCACTCAGAAAAACAACAAAATTACGCAATTATTCAACATTACGAAATGCCACGCCTGTCCGAAAATGAGCGTCTGTGAGCCATAATGATTGATATGTTTGAAGCAGAATCGAGTCAACGTGATGGTGCAAGACAATTTAACGTCCAAAGAAACACCATTTGGTTTTTATGGCAACGTTGGCAACAGAAAAATGCAGTCAGAGACCATCCTCAGAGGGGCAGGCCACGCGTAACCATTAATCGACAAGACAACTGGATTTGAACAACACACCTACGAAATCGATTCCAGCCAGCGACAGTGACTGCAAGAAGCATCCCTGGCCTTCGACGAATATCTTCACAAACCGTAAGTCGTCGCCTCAGATTTGCAGGGATTGTCGCCAGAAAACCCGCCAGACGTCCCATTTTGACAGGAAACCACCGTCAAGCACGTCTACAATGGTGCAGACAGCGTCTACACTAGACGGCCATGCAGTAGGGACAAGTTCTATACACTGACGAGTCTCGTTTTCACCTCAGCCAGAGCGATGGACGGATTCGAGTGTACAGACGTCGAGGTGAACGCTACGTCAATCATTGTGGCATGGAAGAAGATCGGTTCGGGGTCGGCAGCGTTATGGTATGGGGTGGGATAACAGCAATACAGAGGACCCGTTTGATAGTGGTAGAGGGAAATCCCAATGGACAGCGCTACCGCGACGAGATCATCGGCCCCGTTGTTCTACCGTTTTTGCGTCGTCATGGCCCAGGCATTACCTTTCAACATATTGCACGACTTGTTCAGGATTCTCTTCAACAAAACAACGTGAATGTCATCCCCTGGCCGGCTCGCTCCCCTGATCTCTCACTAATCGAGCACATGTGTGATGAGATGGATCGGCGCCTTCGACGTCAACCACGTGTTCCACAGACACTCCAGGAACTTCGAAACATGCTCCAGTAGATATGGACAGATATCCCTTAGGACTTTGTGCGACTCCTAGTCCATTCCATGAGACGAAGATGTGTTGCTTGCATCGCAACCAGAGGAGGACACACACGCTATTGATTTGTAAATTGACATTTTGACGTGTTCATGTCTTTTATGAAATCCCTCATTTTCTGAAGTCAGTATGGCAAATTAAACCATTTGAACACTTACGGGAGTCTTTTATCTGTTACAAACCGAAATTGTTTCAGATTTGGTAAAAATCAACTTTGCATTATATCTTAGTCAATGTCACAGGAACTTTTGTTGTTCAGTATCCATGTATATAAACTAGTGTCCAAAAGAAACGATACCAACTTATTTTCAAAATTGTTTTTTACTAAGTGAATTGTCAAGTATGAAAACATGCCAATTCGTATTGCACATCCCAAACACAGCATAGTCGATAAAAAATACCGGGAACACGTGATCACTTCCGGGAAAAGACGTGAATTTCGTGAAAGTGACATTTCCCTCTCTAGCATGTTCTGCACGTGCAGAAAAACTGTATAAAACGGCTGATCAGACACGTTGATATCACAGCAACAAAAAGAACACAAGATATGCCACGTTTGACTGCCATCGAGAGAGAGAGAGCCGTTCGAATGGTCCAACAAGGAGCGTCACACGTCGACGTCGCCAGAAGGTTGGGCTGCGCACGCATCACTATCACCAGGTTGATGCAGCGGTTACGTCAGACAGGTCAGACGTCAGACAGGCCCAGGAGTGGAAGACCACGAGTAACCACGCCCCGTGAAGATCGTTACATCCGGGTATTACACCTGAAGAACCGCACCGTAACAGCGACGTCCACGGCGGCTACAGCACTGGGACACAGGATCAGTCGACAGACCGTCTACAGGAGACTACGGCAGTATGGTATCCGGCCACGTCATCCCTACCGCGGACCGCTCCTGACGCCTCGACACCGGAACAACAGACTGATCTGGGCCAGGCGAGTTCGACGTTGGCAACGGCGGGACTGGGCACGTGTTATGTTCTCTGATGAGAGCAGATTCCTCATCTTCAGAAACGATGGACGGCAGCTTGTATACCGACGATTTGGTGAACGTTTGGCGCCTAACTGTATCCAACAGGTCCGGCCGTTTGGAGGTGGAGGGTTAATGGTTTGGGGCGGCATATGTGGTGAAGTCAAAACGATGCTTGTCGTAATTCGTGGAAACCTGAATGCACAGCGTTATCTTGATGACATCCTACGGCCTGTTGTGGTGCCCTTTATTCAGCAACAGCCTCGTGGACTCCTTTTCCAACATGACAATGCAAGGCCACACACAACAAGATTGACACAGAACTTCCTTGCCAACGCCAACGTACAGGTTTTGCCATGGCCCGCATGTTCACCGGACATGAATCCCATCGAGCACTTATGGGACCACCTCGATCGGTAAATCCGACGTCGCCGTGTGCCTCCAGCCTCAATGGCAACGCATCACTCCCAACGTCATCAGACGTTTGACGTCATCAGTCCGTAGGCGTGTTCTTGCTTGTATTGATGCTCACGGTGGGCATACCCGCTACTGACTTGACTTTGAGACGTGTGGTGTGACATTTCCCGTTGTTTCTGTGATCAGTGCTCTAACGAAATGTTCATTTTTCGACCCCACCCATCTTTAAAGGCTTGTCATATTGGTTGTACAGATTTTATTGAAATGAAATTTGTGTACAGATGTTGTGAAAGGATTTCTCAAAAGCATAACACCAATCCTAAACTTCTGCATTGTTTAGTTTTTCTTTTATGTCGTTGCAAACAGGTGGTATCGTTTCTTTTGGACACTAGTTTATATGTACCTGTAAGAACACAAAAGTAATAAGATAACAATGGTTAATCGTTATGTTAGTTGAGGCCTTATGGCTGGGAACAGCTACACACGTTTCAGGTAGGGCAGTCAGATGACAGCTGGCTGGGACTGAATGGGTTTATTTCAACTGCGTTTCCTCTTTTTCAGTTTGTGCATTCTACCAATTTCCAACATCATGCACTGACTTAACTCATTCAAAAAGAAATTCAAAGGAGTTTCTCTTTTCCTTTGGCCCTTTTTGGGCATATGCTTCGAAAGCAATCATAATTATTTAAAGTTATGATACCAATTGGAAGGATGCTGCTCACGATATTTTGGTCCATATTTGAATAAATGACGAGGGTTGTTATTGTGAACAATAGAGAAGTCACCTGTGATGACTTTCAGAATGGTATTAGTCCTCGAAGAGACAAGTGGTGGAAACCTGATAACCGGCTTACCTTTGTTTCTGATGAATGCCAACAACCTGCTAAAGATTCATGTCTGTATAGAGTTTCTTTCAATATTAGCAAATTGACAATTTACATTCATTAATAACTGTAATATGATTAAATTTCCGAATCCATATTGGTACAAACCCTATTGTTTAGACACTGTGATTTCTCTGTCAATTTATCGTAAGGGATAGTTGTGCACTTCAATTACATGTTTACACTATAGCAAGATTCATGAGTGATTAACTCTATTTGTCTCATACAGTCTCTGACAGTATATTATTGGGCATTGTTTTATGGTTGCAAGAATTATTGTTAGTAGTTTACACAAGGATGTGGTAATACATTTGCTGGACAATTTATCTCTCTTATCACCTTATGAATCATCTGACAAAGTAACATATTATATTCTCAATCTTTGTAGTTATCTGAAGCTATATACTGATCAACGTTCTTTTCTTTTTTCGGAACAAGTACAGACAAGAAGAGATGTACGTTTCAAATGACAAACCTACATTATAGGATTATTGCATAAACACATGTTAGAGAGATACATTTCTCAAACTTTTTGAAATCGTGAATCACCAAATGGTGTGCGTCTTGTAGTTATGTTCTTTTCACAAAAAAACATTTATACAGTTACAATTCTGAGGTGATCATTGGAAAAAAGGTAGTTTATTTCAAATGCTAAAACTAATCTGACCATGAAATAGAATTTAAGGACTCAAGTTGCGTTGATATAATCAGAAAATGAATATTTTGAGAGCTTAGGGTATGAGAGATTTGTAACTCTGTAATCTTACCTGAAGTAAACAATTTTAAACTTCTACCATAATGGCATATTCGCTCTCGTTTACAGTCGGTGATAACATCTGCTCCTGTATAAATAATATAATACTGAATCAATATTTGGCGACAATTGGTTCTATTCGGCTTGTCAAAAGGCTCATACGTCGATACTATCTCAGTATAGAGTTGTCTTTATCAAGACCATATGTCTATTATATAAGTAAGGCTGAATCAATTCTGCATACAGTAAACAATGATAGTCAGACAGGCGGCCTGCTCATGAGGCCTGCTCATGTCTGTATTGGGCTTCGAAAGTAAAGCAACTGTGCATGTTGCTCACGGGCTGTGCTTGTCAACCATTTGTACCCTTTGCACTATCAACAGTTATGACGTTAAACGTTTTGGGATTACTCTTGTATTAAATGTATTCAATCTGCTAAAGTGCTGATATTGTACATTTTTTAACTTTAACATTCATATCATTTCGAAAGAAAAACATGTTTTGTCCTGTACATCCAAACGAGGTAACTGTTAAAAATGCCCATTCCCCATGGTGTTCATGTTGACGAAACACCCTATGTGTCTTGTTTGTTGTTTAACGCCTAACTCAGCAATATTCCAGCTAAATGACGGCGGTCTGTAAATAATCGAATCTCGATCAGACAATCCAGTGATTGACACCATGAGCATCGTTCTACGCTGTTGGGATACGATGACATGGGTGTTAATCGCCTCTTACGACAAGCATGGGTTTCTGAAGACCAATTCTAAACCGAAATCTTTTCGGGACGAAACTACTCATAAGAACCATTAATCATGATGGTTTATAAATGACTTTGTTTTTACCAAAAGCATTTGAAACAAATTGCATGAATATAAAATCGTGCAATCAGGCTTGTCTTTATGCTGACTTGAACTACTTTTATTATTTCATTATTCATCAATGTTGTATATCTATATGCTATCAGATAATGTAAACGTCCACCACACTTATATACGGAACGGTGAATTCACGTCAAAAGTGATATCATAACACAAAAAATTTCTTTGAACTAATATTCAAATACACAACAACAATGTTCACGAGGAACGTTATTCAAATGTATAAGAGCCTATTCATTTCTCTGAGAGGATCTGACTACACATGACCTATTCGCAAAGGTTACATTGTTACAGAACACTATTCAAAATCTTGCATTCAAATACACTGAACACAAGGAAAATGTTGACCCATTTATAAATTCATAGAAGGAACCCGAACCATTTACAGATAAGACCTGACCACTGGAATGATCTGTAAGCGACAGCTATCTCACCTGTTTGTGCTGCCAGTACACTCCGTGTTCTCGATGCAAATAACAATACACCGCACGACTAGCGACGCAAGGTAGAACGCAATAAATTTATACCGCCATTTAACCGCATATGTTGTCGTGGTATATTGCAGGGCGTGTATGAACCATCACGATATTAAGCGAGATGAGGTATATAATGTGAAATAATCAATGATCAACTGTTCACATAACAACTTGAACAGTGCAAATACGACAAAGGGAGCCCAATAAATCAATCATATGGTGAGTGATGTGTGTTGCATTTACCGTTGTATCGTGTAAAATGAATTGCGTAGGTTTTCCTTATCGATTCAGTGCATGTATGTGTGGTGGTTGAATGTAATACATGGACACATTTGCTGTTGGGCATTAGATACCTGAGAGGTTGAAATAGACATGTTTTATGGCTCCGTAGGACAATCAAGTACCTGGGGAAATAAAGTACCATTTCATAAGCACGTTTGCAGTCGGATAAAAAGCCGCAGAAAGATTGGTGTTCGAAGTATACGTGTACCGTACACTATCTAAAATGTGTACGGGATAAATTATAAGGATTCGTTCTATGTATTTAATGATGAACAAGACCCTTTTCGTATCACATGATACATTATCCAACGGCCTTGTAACGATACATCTTCCACGGCCTCTGTTCTGCTTAGAAACAACAGAATGGGGTTGAAAAACACTATAATATAACGAGAATCTGTGCGAAATATAAAAACAAAACACCCACTCACATTTTCTTTGTTTGAGTGTATATACAATATCTTGTGAGGAGTTCAGCTGACTTATGTACACACAGGCAAATGTGTCTCCTTTACATTTTGAGGTACATCCGACATCTTGAAGGAATTCATCAAACACATGTACAAATTGATAAATGTGTTTCCTTTACACGATGAGGTACATGCGATATCTTCTGAGGCGTTCATCTGACACATGTACACACAGATAAATGTGTCTCTTTTACCTTATGAGGTATGTACGGCCAACTTGTGAGGAGTTTATCTGACACATGTACACACAGATAAATGTGTCTCTTTTACCTTATGAGGTATGTACGGCCAACTTGTGAGGAGTTTATCTGACACATGTACACACAGATAAATGTGTCTCTTTTACCTTATGAGGTATGTACGGCCAACTTGTGAGGAGCATAGCTGACACATGTACACAAAGATAAATGTGTCTCTTTTACCTTATGAGGTATGTACGGCCAACTTGTGAGGAGCTCAGCTGACACATGTACACAAAGATAAATGTGTCTTTTTACCTTATGAGGTATGTACGGCCAACTTGTGAGGAGTTTATCTGACACATGTACACACAGATAAATGTGTCTCTTTTACCTTATGAGGTATGTACGGCCAACTTGTGAGGAGCACAGCTGACACATGTACACACAGATAAATGTGTCTCTTTTACCTTATGAGGTATGTACGGCCAACTTGTGAGGAGTTTATCTGACACATGTACACAAAGATAAATGTGTCTCTTTTACCTTATGAGGTATGTACGGCCAACTTGTGAGGAGCTCAGCTGACACATGTACACAAAGATAAATGTGTCTCTTTTACCTTATGAGGTATGTACGGCCAACTTGTGAGGAGTTTATCTGACACATGTACACAAAGATAAATGTGTCTCTTTTACCTTATGAGGTATGTACGGCCAACTTGTGAGGCGTTCATCTGACACATGTACACACAGATAAATGTGTCTCTTTTACCTTATGAGGTATGTACGGCCAACTTGTGAGGAGTTTATCTGACACATGTACACACAGATAAATGTGTCTCTTTTACCTTATGAGGTATGTACGGCCAACTTGTGAGGAGCACAGCTGACACATGTACACACAGATAAATGTGTCTCTTTTACCTTATGAGGTATGTACTGCCAACTTGTGAGGAGTTTATCTGACACATGTACACAAAGATAAATGTGTCTCTTTTACCTTATGAGGTATGTACGGCCAACTTGTGAGGAGCTCAGCTGACATTCAAATTTGTTTCCTATTTGTATGTGTTCTTTTCCATATTCGATAGATTGTATTTCGGAAACATCCACATAATAACGTACCTGTACTATATCCTACAACAAAATATTATAATCTTTAGAAACAACTAGATGTGATAACGTTTGGGGTTATATTCACATTATTGATAACAATTAATTAATCAATGCACCAATTTCAACCTCGAAAAGGAAATGACGTCAGCAGCTGTTTATAGATACTCCATCATGACTGAATTGGTTTGAACAGTATTTGTATTATATATATTACGCCGTGTCAGTTTAATGTTGGAGGAGGGGGCACGGGTGGACCAGTCGTCTAAGGCGCCGCGATTCGCTGTGCAGAGTTCCGTCCCTTGGGCACGCCAGAAACCTATGATTGTGGGTTCGAATCCCGGTTCGCCCCGATTATGTTTCTAGGTTGGTCAGCACCATACCCGTGCTCGTGGGTTTCACAGAAGTGGTAAACGTCTGAGACCTGCATGACTTCGGGCTTTCCTCCCACATTAAGCTGACACGCCGCGATATAACTGGAATACTGTTAAACATTAAACCCAACTCACTCACTCACTAATGTTGGAGGAAAAGTGATGCAGCTCTTTTAGGCGTTTTCCACTTTGGAGAAACTCAGGAACACTGGTGCCAACAAAAATATAATTATGTTGGGGATTCGAACCCACGATCATCAGATTCAAAGACGAGTAAGAGACGCACCATTTACAGGTCATTTGGTGAAGGAGAATGATTTCTTTAGCAACGTAGGAGTGTTATCTGATACAATGAACAGTCATTAGATGACAACTGCAATTGTTTGTTTGTTGTTTAAAGTCGCACTCAGCAATATTCCATCTGTATGATGTCGGTCTGGAAACAATCAAATCTGTACTAGACAATCCTGTGATTAACATCATGAGCATCGATCCACGCAATTGGGATAAGATGACACGCATCAAGCAAGTCAACGAGCCTGACAACCCGATCCCGATAGTCGCCTCTCACGATAAGCAAGGGTTGTTGAGGACCAAGTCGAAGCCGCGGAATCTTCACGGGAATAACTGCAGTTGTAAACTCAAAATCAAAAGAGCTAAACCAATTGACAAATCAGGAGCGGAAAATGTGATTGAATAAAACAGGCCATAAGTGAGTGAGTGAGTGAGTGAGTTTGGTTTAACGCCGCTTTTAAAAGTATTCCAGTTATATCGCGGCGTGTCAGCTTAATGTGGGAGGAAAGCCCGAAGTGATGCAGGTCACAGACGTTTACCACTTCGGTGAAACCCACGGGCACGGGTATGGTGCTGACAAACCTAGAAACATAATCGGTGCGAACCGGGATTCGAACCCGCAATCATAGATTTTTTGCGTGCCCAAGGGACGGAACTCTGCACAGCGAATCGCGGCGTCTTAGACGACTGGGCCACCCGTTCCCCCCAGGCCACAAGGAAGAGGTCCACAATAATGTCACCTTCCACTCACACGTCAAGTAATGGAGGAGTATACACGTTGTCTTAGTGGTAAAATCTTTGCTCGTTTACGTCGGATTTCCTATATGGGTATAATATGTACATGTAGAGCCCAGATCTTGTGTCCCTCACAGTGATGTTCCTCGAATATCTCGAACAGAAACGCCAAACGTAACTCACTCACTCTGCATAAAGTCAGACAACATCCATTACAACATCATCTTCTCGAGGCAAGAGAGTTGACTGACTTTGGGGCGTGTCACAAACAATTGATGGTAGTTTCGAATCCTGTCTGACTCTGAATCTGTTTCGTTGTTTGTCATCACCCTACTCTTGCTCATATGCGATTTAACACCTGAATTACTTCGGACCTTCCTCCTTCATACTGTTCGAAGCGGCGTAAAAACAAACTCACTCAGTCAATGTAAAAGGCATGTTTGCAATTACATACATGTTAGTGCACAACATCTCTATTACACATGACAAGAAATGACAGTTTTAACGGAGTTACCTCCCTTACACTGAGCCGATGCCCACATAACACGTGGTTCTGGGGGGAAATGCGTTGTATCGTTTTCTATGGTCTTTATGACTCTGGGTATATGTTCGTATGTGTGTTTACTATCGTACATGATCGATTGCAATATGTACCCAAATAAATACGTCAGGTGTGTGATGTTATGATGCGTGTACTTCCTGTTGATGTGGTCAAACAGACTCTTCACAAGTTTGTTTGATTGTTTGGATGTACATCATACAAGCTATATGCCAAAACAGAAATCAATGTCAACGGACGATTAATGATATCAATAGAATGATATTGTGACGACAATAAATGTTCCCTCAGAACCGATCATCATTGTATGTTATCAGCTCTCCGTTTGGAATTGATTGAAACAACATTTTGCAGTATAGTCGTGTGACTCAATATATTTATATATTATGACGACAATAAATGTTCGCTTTGAACTAATCATGATTGAATGTTATCAGGTCTCTTTGGATTAAATTGAAACGACATGTTGAAGTATAACCTCATTTCAAATAGGTTGTGTGCACATTCTTTATTATTAAAATAATACATAGCTTATAAGTTTAGATTTCAATATCTATAAGATAATAAAAATAATAATAATGATAATGATAATAATAATAAAATAATAATAATAATAATAATAATAATAATAATAATAATAATAATAATAATAATAATAACAACAACAACAACAACAACAATAATAATAATAATATGCTTTACAAACTAATTTTAAATGAGGGTGAATAATTGAATCATTTTGGTATTATATTGAAAGAAAGAAATTGTCCACGAAGATTCTTGAAAAAAAAATTATGCTTCACACTGGTGAAAATAATGAAATTGCCTGCCACAAAAATTACATTATTGCAATGTGTCTTCTTTAAGAAAATCAGGCTCATAGTTCTAAATAAAAAATATATATCTGGTTTGGTGGCTGTAGCTGAAAATAGATAATCTCGACACAAAATCCAAGCACCCCCAGCACATCCCGTTCACCGCCCCACCCCCGCGAATATCAAATGGTCAGTCGCTGAGCTTCACGAGGCGAATAGCGTGTCTTTAAACGACACCACTACTCATTCCCCTTTCATAAGGCAGCTCGGGTATGGTAGT